AAGAAGGTAAATTAGAATCTTGTGTTACTATTGTGTTTTAATTTCTCCTTATTTCTCTGAAGTCCTGCTTTATAAATAGCACCATGTTACTTGTGCGTAAATATTCACTTGTCTTATATTCTTGGGAATTGCCCCATTTCATCATAAAATTACCTTTCTTGTCTCATTTCATGTATTCAACCTTTGCCCTGAATTTAACTTTGTCTGATATTATGACAGCCCTGCTGAATTTTGTTTGTTACCCCAATAAATCTTTGCTCCATCTTTTCTGAACCCTTTATTTTAGGTAAATCCATTGAATTAGAGAACCAAGTTTTGCTTTGTGATTAAATCTGCAAGTCTTTATCTTGCCATAGATGAGTTGAGCCCTGTTTGTGTGACAGCTATATTATGCTATGTTTCATAGCCTTTTGGGGTCTTTTTTCACTCTTGTATTGCATATTTTGTGTTTATTGTGTTTTGTGTTTCTTCTGATAATTTGGAAGGTTTGTATTTTTATTTACTTATTTATATTTTGTTTTATTTATTTATAACCATACTCTGCAATATGCATCATCATCTATTTCTTCCAACTGTCTGTTAACTCCCTATTCTGAATAAAGGCGATGTTGCACTTTTCCTCTTTTTCCTTTTTTTGAGACGAAGTTTTACTCTTGTTGTCCAGGCTGGAATGCAATGGTGTGATCTCAGCTCACCATATTCCCCACCTCCTAGGTTCAAGTGATTCTCCTGCCTCAGCCTCCCAAGTAGCTAGGAGTACAGGCATGAGCCACCACTGTCAGCTAATTCTGTATTTTTAGTAGAGACATAGTTTCTCCATGTTGGTCAGGGTGGTCTCGAACTTCCAACCTCAGTTCATCTGCCTGCCTTGGCCTCCCAAAGTGCTGGGATTACAGGGGTGAGCCACTGTGCCTGGACCTTCACTCTCTTTTCTTCTCCTCACCTAATGTAAATGATTTTATCCTTCTTTAGTTTTGCTTTTTAAAATTAACTACATTTATAAATATCTTTATCACTTGATTTTTAAATCCGCTTTGAATGATATATTTTGATTCCTAGACATAAAAGATGTTAATTATACCATTTATACGTTAGTAGGTTTATAAAATCATACATTCTGCTCTGTAACCATAATCCTACATTTGTTTTACTTCTACTTCTGCAGTTAAAAGATTCAGGATTATTACTATCAACAGTTATTTTACCATAGTTTTTTCCCCACCCGTTTTGTGGTAAGTTAATGATCCCGCCTTAGTAGTTTATTCAAGAATAATTTATAGAGCAGGGTATGGTGGCTCATGCTTGTAATCCCAGCACTTCGGGAGGCAGAGGTAGGAGGATCGCTTGAGGCCAACAGTTCAAGACCACCCTGAGCAACATAGTGAGACCCTGTCTCTACAAAATAATTTAAAAATTTCCCAGACATAGCAGCGTGTACCTATAGTCTCAGCTACTCAGGAGACTGAGGCAGGATTGCAAGAGCCCAGAAGTTTGAGGCCACAGTGAGCTATGACTGTGCCACTGCACTCCAGTCTGGGCAACAAAGTAAGACCCTGTCTCTTTAATGATTTATGAAAATTGTGTTCCCTGAGTTTTTCATGTTTAAAAATATTTGTTGCCTTTGTCCTGTAAAAGTTTAAGTATAAATTTCTTGGGTAGTATTTTATTTCTTGAAGAATGTTTAAGTATTGTCTTCTAGAATTGAATGTTGCTATAATGACATCAGAAGTCAGCCTGATTTATTTTTCCTTAAAAGTGAGGTAACTGCTGTGCTGTTCCAAGAATTATCTCTTTGTTTACAAAATCCAGAAATCTCACTGTTATACATTTTGGAATTATTATTCTGGGCCAATATTTCCTGGGACACAAATGACTCTATGGATTTAATTCCTCTCTCTTTTTTTTGGGGAAATAGAGTCTCACTGCAACCTAGGCTCACTGCAACCTCTGCCTCCCAGGTTCAAGGAATTCTTCTGCCTCAGCCTCCCGAGTAGCTGGGACTACAGGGGCACGCCACCACGCCTGGCTAATTTTTTATTTTTGTATTTTTAATAGAGATGAGGTTTCACCATGTTGGCCAGGCTGGTGTCAAACACCTAACCTCAAGTGATCCATCCTCCTTGGCCTCCCAAGTGCTGGGATATAGGTATAGTGAGCCACCATGCCTGGCCTCAATTCCTCTTTCTATTTCATAATTTTTCTTAAGTTAAAAAAATTTATTCTAATATGTTGTTTCAGTGTTCTAAGATGCATAAAGCACCCTATTCCCAGGTCTGCCCCCACCTTGGTAGATGGCTCTGGCTTTCTCCCGCTTGATCTCAAGTGACTCTGTCAGCCTCCACCTGGTTTATGGTTTGGAGTTTTAATCTGTAGTTTTAATAAAGATAGTTCTTATGTTTGTGTTTCTTGTATTCCTTTGTACTCTTGGGTAATTTGCAAGATCCCCACACCTACACCAGAAGTCCATTTTCAATCATTTTCTTCAGGCTGTTTATTTTATTTTATATTTATTTATTTATTTTTTGGGATCGAGTCTTGCTGTGTTGCCCAGGCTGGAGTGTAGTGGTGCGATCTCAGCTTGCTGCAACCTCTGTCTCCTGGGTTCAAGAGATTGTCCTGCCTCAGTCTCCCAAGTAGTTGGGATTATAGGCACCCATCATATTTTAATTTTTTCAGAGACAGGGTCTTGCTTTGACCAGGCTGGAGTGCAGTGGTGCAATCATGGCTGACTATAACCTCCAACTCCTGAGCTCAGGTGATCCTCCTGCCTCAGCCTCCTGAGTAGCTGGGACTACAGGCACATGCCACCATGTCCAGTTACTTTTAATGTTTTTGTAGAGACAGGCTCTCCATATGTTGCCCAGCCTGGCCTCTTACTCCTGGCCTCAAGTGATCCTCCCACCTCGGCCTCCCAAAGTGCTAGGATTATAAGCATGAGCCACTGTGTCCCAGCCTTGTTCTACTATTTTCATTTCATATGTTAGGTGACCATGTAATTGATCATCCAAACCAGGAACTGTAAGAATGAAAGAGGCTGACAGTAGTATGATGCTGGGACTAGCATTGTGAACTGAGATTATTTCTGGGAAAGCAGGAGATATGCCACCTTGCTTATCATGTGCTTATCTTCTTTGGATTGTTGAATTTGGAGTTTCTTTCTTTCTTCTTTCTTTCTTTCTTTCTTCTTTCTTTCTTTCTTTCTTTCTTTCTTTCTTTCTTTCTTTCTTTCTTTCTTTCTTTCTTTCTTTCTTTCTTTCTTTCTTTCTTTCTTTCTTTCTTTCTTTCTTTCTTTCTTTCTTTCTTTCTTTCTTTCTTTCTTTCTTCTTTCTTTCTTTCTTTCTTTCTTTCTTTCTTTCTTTCTTTCTTTCTTTCTTTCTTTTTCTTTCTTTCTTCTTTTTGAGGTGCTGTCTCACTCTGTTGCCCAGGCTGGAGTGCAATGGTGGGATCTCAGCTCACTGCAACCTCCACCTCCCGGGTTCAAGCAACTCTCCTGCCTCAGCTTCCTGAGTAGCTGGGATTACAGGAGCCTGCCATGCCCGGCTAATTTTTGTATTTTTTTAGTAGAGGTAGGGTTTCACCAGGCTGGTCTTGAACTCCCTACCTCAGGCTGTTTGGCCTCCCAAAGTGCTGGGATTAGCGGCGTAAGCCTCTGCACCTGGCCCTGAATTTGGAGTTTCTGTTGGCAGGCTTATTTCAACTGGGCGGTCTTGATCCACCCTGCCCAGCAATGCTACCATTCTCTCCACCAGGCCTCAGGGACCCCTTCACTTATTTCACTTCTTTCTTACTCTGAAAGAAAGCAGAAAAAAAGGAATAAAGATAAAAGCAGAAATAAGTAATTAGAAATGTTAAAAAGTTTAGCCTAAAGCTGCCTCCTTACATATTTTAAGTTCAACCTGTTGGTTCCTTCCTACATAGTAAACTGTAACCTAACAATGTGCAAACAGACTGTAACTTACTCTTCTGCCATCAGCTGTTCAAACCCTGTTCAATAAGGCAAAAGCTGAGCTGTAACCCATCTGGCTGTTTCTGCACCTTGCTTTCATTTTCTGTATGTACTTTCTTTTTTCTGTCCATAAATTCTCTCTGACCACGTGGCAGTGCTGAAATTACTCTTAACCTATTTTGCTTTAGGGCAGCTGCCAGATTTAGGAATCGAATCATTCTGTGCTCCAACTGTGTCTTCAGTTTTCTTTAACAGGGAACAACAACAACAAAAATAGTAGATGAAGCTTCAAGTTAGGCTAAAAAGAAAGGAAAAAAAGAAAAAGAAGAAAAGGAGAAAAATAGTTTTAAAAGAAGAAAAAAATCTTCAGTATAACTGAAAACATAAATCTAAGAGTTGGTTCTTTGAAAAAACAATATCATTTTAAAAGTTAACACAATAAAGAAAGCAAAAATACCCAGAATAAGGTATTTGGAAGTTAAAAGGTTCAAAAAAGACTACTTTCCTCAACTTTATGCACACACACTTGAATGTCTGGAAAATAAAGGCTAATTTGTTTTAAGAAATACATGCTTTCTCAAAATTAACTCTAGAAGAATTTTTAAAATGTAAATTATAAAATTGCCACAAAAAAACCATTGGTAGCCTTCAAAGGTACCTTCCCCAAAGAAAGCATCAGGCTGGAAGGGACATTTTCAACTAGGGAAAGGTTAAACCTCAAAAAAATAGATAATTTTAATGTTAATGCTCCTTAAATTGTTCAGAGTACAAGGAAAAAGCCAAAGTGCCTAATTTTTTTTTTTTTTGGTAGAGATGGAGGTCTATGTTTCCTAGACTGGTCTCGAACTTCTGGCCTCAAGCACTCCTCCTATCTTGGTTCCAAATATTTTGTGATGTGAGCATAAAATTTGGTTGATTCTGAAACCTAACAACATTAGACATTCAAAAGAAAATTATTGCCCATTTCATTTTTGAATATCAACGCAAAACTTACAAAATATTAGCAAACAGAATCGAACAGTATATTTTTAAAAATAAGACAAGTTTATTGCAGGGATAAACTGGATTTTTTATTAGGAATTTATTATAACTAGGACTCATGACTTTGGTATGGGGAAATTCACGGTCACCCGGTTTGCTCATGCTTAGAGACATCTTCCTCCTCTTTCTCTCCTCCTTTCCAGTGAAAATTTCTTCAAGTTTCCTCTATGAAAGCAAAGCTTCATCCCTCTTCTTTTGTTCTTTCCTCCTCTCCTCTCAGAACAAAGGGGTTGCTGCTGACCAGCCCAGGCCTTCTTATTTGGGCCGGGGTCATTCTTCCTTGGGGGAGTCCTGTCCTTCAGGTGGGATATCCAGACCTCCCTAGATGTCCGCGGGGCGGCGGGGAGGGGCAGCACCGTCCCTGGTGGAGAACCGCTGGTCTAGGCTCGCCCCTCTACCTGTGCACCGCGTCCTGCCAGGGTTGGTTAGTCTCCCTGGATCCGCTCCTTCCTCCTCGTTTGATCCTCACGCCCTCAAATATGACCAAAGGTCCTGTTATTTCACTAAGGTCTTAGGCCACTTCCATGTCAAGAAACACAGTGGCACTTTCCAGCCCCTGGCCATGAGGTACCCTGGAGAAGGAGCGGTGAGGGAAGGAAGATGCTGATTGGGATGTTGACCTTGCAGAGTTCCAGGCGCCTCCGCGGTGTCCTGGAGGAGGCGCTGGGCGGGAGGGTGCAGCGGAGCGGGGGTGGGGGGGGCCGGGGACGCGGGGGCCAGGTGCAGCGAACGCCACAGGCCTGACTGGGCCCCTTGCAGTGGGGGAGGTGAGGCCGTGAGCATAGCTCTCACACTGGAGGGCGCCTCAGAATGACTTGAAGGGCTCGCGAGCCTGCGGACTCCTGGATCCACCTTCAGGCTGTTAGTGCAGGAAAAACCGAAGAGCCTCGATGGGACGAATACTGAATTTTCTCGGTTCCCAGATGAGGCTGAAGCTGCTGGTCCCGGCACCACCCTTAGAAAACCGCCGGTCTAGAGTGCGGAAATGGGTCCCAGGTCTGGTCTGGGGCGCCCCAACATCGATTATCTGCGACTGGAGGATGAGCAGCTAGGGAAAGGAGACCCGGAGCGTCGAGAGGTGTCCCCAGCCGCCAGCTGAAGGAGGACGGCGCAGGCGGAAGTGCCGGCGGCGGTGCCGGGACTACAGCTCCCAGCGAGCCCCGCGCGGCTCGCGCTCGCCCCCTGGCGGCGCTGGCGGGAGGCGCCGGTGGAGCGCGCGTCCCTCGCCTTAGCATCAGTGATCGCCGGGAGCCGTGGTGGTTGCGGGCTGCGGCGCTGAGCCAGCAGAGCCGGTGAGTAGGAGCCGCACTGCCCGCCTGCCCGCCCGCCTGCCGGCTCTCTGCGCCTCAGCCGGCTGGTCTGCACGGCTGGGTGGGCGAGCGCGGGGGTCCGGCAGTCCGTCGCGGGGGCATGGGACTGCCTTTCTGGGGAGGCGCGCTGCGTCTTTGCCGCGGGGGCCCCGGTGCCCTCGGCGCGGGTCCTGTCCCTAGCCCAGTAGGAACGTCCTGTCCCGTCCTGCCCGACCCGGAGCGGAGGGACCGGTGCCACAGGTGGCCGCGGCAGGTGGCCGCCTCCTCCCCTCCATGCCTGAGGGTTGTCGCAGGGACCCGGGACTGAGGGCCAGGTGGCTTCCAACAGCTGCGGCCCTGGCGGCCACCCCAGCCGCGGTGGGACAGGTGGGCGGGCACGCCTGGCCCCGGCTCCTGGATCCCAGGAGCCTCTCGCACCCTCCCTGGTGCTGCCCTGGGGGTGCTGCGTGGTGCAGAGAACCGGGAAGCCCTTGGCCCTCGGCGTCCACCGCGCTCCCGCCCCTTCCTGCCCGGGGTGGCCAGAGAAGGGTGCGGGCTGCGCATCCCGGGTCAGCTGGGGCATCGCGGCGCAGTGCATCTGGCGGGCCCGGGGGAGCGCGCGGTGCCCGTGGGTGTCCCGGTGGTGCGGACCTGCGGGGGTGCGGCGGTAAAGACCTCCTTCCCCAGCGTCTGTGCAAGAAAATTAGTGTTATGTGCTTGCCTTTTTTTTTTTTTTTTTTTTTTTTTAAGGAAGTTTGACTCTGAATATCTTATTTTGCTGGAGCCCCATTTGCCAGGATGTAAGTTTATGTAATAAACGGCATACAGTTGGGAAAAAAAATCTTCCTGTGAAGGTGCTCTTCCTTGCCCTCTGCAGGAAGAATTACGCCGAGCTGGTGACAGGCTTATCCACCAGTAACTGTAGGAGCTGCAGGCAGCAGATAAAGTGTTTTTTGAGTAGGGCGCAAGTCAGCCCTTCAGGACAATTTTTGTTTTGGAAAGATTCTGTTATCCAGTTTCAAACACCGTGTTCTTTCAGTGTTGTAGATGGGGGAGGAGGAAAGAGCAAAGGCTTGTCAATCCTAATACCTCAACAGAAATTAGCTTTGCAGGATTAACTCTCCAAGCAATCGAGCTGAATTTGGCAGCCCAAACTACAGTTGAAGCTGAGCCTCCATACTAAACCCTGTCTCAGTTTTCATAGTTTTTCAGTTGATTGGTTTGCCTCTTCCAAATGGGTGATCTTACTGTCTGTTAACAGATATTTCGCACCTTTGTACTTTACACGTTAAAGTTACAAGTTAACTCCAGATTTTTTAATGATCGCTATTCTAACTGGCGTGAGATGGTATCTCAATGTGGTTTTGATTTGCATCTCTCTGATGACCAGTGACGATGAGCATTTTTTCATATGATTGTTGGCTTTATATATGTCTTCTTTCGTAAAGTGTCTGTTCATATCCTTTGACCACTTTTGAATGGGCTTGTTTGTTTTTTTCCTGTAAATCCGTTTGAGTTCTTTGTAAATTCTGGATCTCAGCCCTTTGTCAGATGGGTAAACTGCAAAAATTTTTTCCCATTCTGTTGGTTGCCGATTCACACTAGAGACTGTTTCTTTTGCTGTGCAGAAGCTGTGGAGTTTCATTAGGTCCCATTTGTCTATTTTAGCTTTTGTTGCCAATGCTTTTGGTGTTTTGTTCATGAAGTCCTTGCCTACTCCTATGTCCTGGATGGTTTTGCCTAGATTTCCTTCTAGGGTTTTTATGGTGCCGGGTCTTATGTTTAAGTCTTTAATCCATCTGGAGTTAATTTTGGTGTAAGGTGTCAGGAAGGGGTCCAGATGCTGGAGAGGATGTGGAGAAAAAGGAACACTTTTACACTGTTGGTGGGAGTGTAAATTAGTCCAACCATTGTGGAAGACAGTGTGGCGATTCCTCAAGGCCTTAGAAATAGAAATCCCATTTGACCCAGCAATCCCATTACTGGGTATATATCCAAAGGACTATAAATCGTTCTACTACAAGGACACATGCACACGAATGTTCATTGCAGCACTGTTTACAATAGCAAAGACCTGGAATCAACCCAAATGCCCATCAATGATAGACTGGATTGGGAAAATGTGGCACATATACACCATGGAATATTATGCAGCAATCAGAAATGATGAGTTTGTGTCGTTTGTAGGGACATGGATGAATCTGGAGAACATCATTCTCAGCAAACTGACACAAGAACAGAAAATGAAACACCGCATATTCTCACTCATAGGCGGGTGATGAAAAATGAGAACACATGGACACAGAGAGGGGAGTACTAAACACTGGGGTCTATAGGGGGAAAAGGGGAGGGGGAGGTGGGGAGGGATTGCCAGGGGAGAAATACCAAATGTGGGTGAAGGGGAGAAAGCAAACAAAACACACTGCCCTGTGTGTACCTATGCAACTGTATTGCATGCTCTGCACATGTACCCCAAAACCTAAAATGCAATAAAAAAAAAAGAAAAAAAAATAAAGTTACAAGTTAACATCTTGTCTTCCACGGATTACTCTCGCTGCAGTGTTGACTATTAAGGTTAAATAGGACTCCTGGTCTCAGGCCTGTTTTTAGGGAGCATTCCCTCTGTATCTTCACCGAGTGTATTCTATTCCATTAGGTACATTTTTGTTTATTTTGTTTAGGTATATTTTGTTTTACTAAAAGTTTGAAAAGTCAGGGGTGGGTGTTGTTTTTTTTCCCCCAAATGCTTTTGTGTGGCATAGATTTTCGTCTTAAAATTAAAATTGTTAACGTAAGTGGTCATGTTACTAGATTTTCTTTCTCTAAAACCCTGGGCTAAATTAAAATGCACTTTTGGATTGTCTGTTCACATCGATAAGCTAGCATTTTATTTAGGGTTTTGGTATCTGAGATTGGCATATAACTTACCCGGTTTTTGTCTGTGTTCATAATTAGGATTAGGCTGTCCTCTCTGATTAAATTGGAAAACTTTCCATCATTTTCCATGCTCTGTTCCCTCAAGTTTGGCACAACTTGACTGCGACTGCCTGCACTATTGCTGGTGTTTTTTTAGGAAGTTAACATCAGTATTTAATTACCTTTTCATTTTTTTATGATAATTTATTTTTCTCAATTTTCTATTTCTTCAAAGTAAATTTAATATATGCTAGCATAATGTCATATATAGTATTCTGTTGTAAGAAAGCAAACTCTTCCATATCTGTATGTTCTCTTTCTGATACAGTACTTTTTTGGTACCTTTTCTCTTTTTTATTGGTCAGACTTGATTAATGATTATTTTATTAATCCTTTCAAAGAACCAGCTTTTATTAACCAGGATTCATTGATTAATTCTGTTGATTTTTATTTTTCTATGTTGTTAATTTCTGTTCTTTATCTTTCTACTTAATTTGAATTTATTTTGTTCAAGTTTTAGCATTTTGAACAGAAAACTTGGCTCATTTATTTAATCAGTTAGTCCTTCTGAACAAGGCAAGGATTTCTCATTCTTTCATTCCCCTTACTTCACATTTGGCCTTTGCTGTATTTTTACTTTAACCCTGCCAATGAGACATTATTGCTGTTTTTTGGTAATTTTCTAGGTCAATATTTATTAGCTTTATCTACCTGTTTACCATTTTCTTCACTTTCCATTCCGTCTTGTATCACAGATACCTTTCTCTGGAACATTTTCCTTCTCCCTCAAATACATTCTTTAGAAATTACTTCAGTGATGACAAATTCTCTATTTTTTTAATGTCTGAAAATGCCTTTATTCTCCCTGTGTTCTTGAATTTTGGTTTCACCATATTTCTTTCTTCAATTGATTTCAGAGTTAGTTTTATATATTTTTTCTTTTCTAGCATTTTAAAAAGATGTTTTGTAGCTGCAAGGTTTTGGGATATCTATTCTGCCAGAGTGCTGAAAGAAAAACAAAGGTTAAAACAGAAATTAATTTACAGTCTACTGTCAGTCATGATTGTTCCCTGTATCCTTAGTATATTGGGTATACAGTTCTATATTCATCTCAAGTTTATTAATTATAATTCATGTTTTCTGCATCCTTAACTTATTTTTTTCTCTGTTTGACCTGTTGAATTGGAGAGTTATATTAAAGACCTCCATTATGATTCTCGTAGAGCTTTTTTGTTCTATGTTTAATATATGTTTCTTTCTTTAAATGTTATATTTTTGAAGCTGTTTTATGTGCTTAAAGGTTCACAGTTCTTCTTGGTGAGTTGTACCTTTTGAGAGTAAACCGGCCATCTTATTTGTTTTTGTTATTCATTCTTTTTATATTGCTATACTTGTTTTTTGTTAACATTTATGTGGCATGTCTTCTATTCACTTATTTCCAGTTTTCTGTGTCTTGTTTAATTGTTACTCTTACCATTAGCTTATAGCTGGATTTTGTTTAATTAATCTTTGTTTTTAATAAATATTGTGGTAAATTAACAAAATTTATCATCTTTTTTTTTATTTTACCATTTACCACTTTAAGTGTACAGTTCACCAATGTTAAGTGTGCACATTGTTGTGTAACCAATCTCCAGATTTTTTTCACCTGACAAAATTGAAGTTCTGTATCTATCACTCCAGCCCCTGGCAACCACCATTTCGCTTTCTGTCTCTACGAATTTGCCTATTTTAGGTACCTTGCATGAGTATCTAATATAGTACCTCATATAGTATTTTTCTTTTTATGACTGGCTCATTTTATTTAACATAATACCCTCAAGATTCATCCATGTTGTAGTATGTGTCAGAATTTTCTTCCTTTTTATTGCTAATATTCCATTGAATGTATATACCACATTTTGCTTATCCATATATTTATCAATATATATTTGTATTGGTTCCACATCATAGCTATAATGAATAATGCTGCCATGACCATGCATAAATGAATATTTCTTCAAGACCCTGCTTTCAATTATTTGAGTATATACCCAGAAATAGAATTGTTGGATCAAGTAGTACTTCTATTTTTAGTATTTTGATGA